ATGGGCATATCAAGGCATGCCTATCACTGCCTATGTCATTGCATTCTGGACCAGCTGAAGGTTCTGGGTAATCTTCAAGAGCAGCCCCAATGTAGAGTACATTGCAATAAAACCATGAGGTGAAAGCATATGGTTGACTGTCGGAAGGATTTCCTGATCTAGGAAAACTGCACCACCACAACTCACTGATATTGCAACTGCTAATTTCTGGTTCCATTCATAAAAGTGTCTCTTAGTATTTCTAGTGTTATGATGTTTTGCATCATTTTCTTAGTCAGAGTTAATCAATGCTAAAAGCCGGCTTGTATTTTTCCCCTTTCTTATAGAATCCTTAATCCTCTCCAGTGTCCAGTTTCTAAAATCATAAAGATACTTATCTTTGTTATAAGCCAAGATATCCAAAATAATTGTGGTTCTCATGGGAAGGCATTTTTTTGCTATGGTTAGTTCAAAAAAGTTGTAGAATCAATCAACATTTCAAATTTAATTGTCTGCAATTTTGTAAATTTAATCCAGTGCTACTTTCTTGGATCTTATTAATAACTAAATCTTACTTAGTTTTTGCTGTTTATTTTAAATTCTTTAAGCTCTCAAAGTTATGATTAATTTTTCTTTTATTCAGAGTAAAGGTAAACTCACCCAGTGATTTTTCAAACAAGTCTCTAATAGCGTTAAGATAGTAAATAGTATCAGAGCTAATTGTAAGGCTTTATAATTTAGCTCACATTCCAAAAGCCTTATATAGGGTAGAAGCAAATAACACTGTTTCCTGTTCTCTGTGGACCATAGTATCCTTATTATTTTGCCTACCACATATACAAACTGTAAAAATCATTTCAATAAAAGTAAACGGGAATGAAGAAGAGGTGCCTAAGCTCTCAAAATACTTGTAGAAAATGCTGGTGGATTATGAATTTGTTAAATTCAGTGATTGCTCAGGAATTGTTCCTGAATGCATAGTACAACTGAAAGCTTGGCTGTAAAGCAATATGAGTTATCTTGATTTCAAATTAAGGGGATTAAAAGAGTGTAAATAATTCAAGTCCCCAAGGTTGCATTAGAGATGAGTTTTTCTCTATACATTTATACATGTGTCCACTCGGGGGAGTTCTTTCAATCTGATATTCCTTTTTATGTGTATTTCCATCCCTGCTCCTTCTCTTGATCAAAATGTCAGCTCTTTATTTGGCAGAAAGAGGGAGATAAGAAATAGTTGGAAAAAGAAACATGTAAGAACGATAGAAGCAGCCCAAGGCAAGGAGTATTGCTCCTGCCTCAAGAATTGCTATCAGAAGAAATATGTCTCCAAACAAAAGGAGGGGGGGGGGAATGGCATTAAGGTGCTGCAGTCATTTACTAATCTAATTTAATCTGACTGGTTTCATTTCCTCTTGCCAGTTAAAGCACACATATGCAATACATTTTAATGCATTATTAATCCAATTTTACTAATTACTATGCTATTATAATGCATCCAGTGAAACCTATCAATTTAAATGTTTTTAAGGTTAAACTCTTTTAATTGAATATTTGCTATTGCACTTCTACTATTATTAATTACAGATTGCTTATCATTCTGTCATTACGATTATATTATATGTATTACACAAGATGCTGTATTTAGAAATCCTCCTCCTAATAGCTTAGCAAGAAAATGGAAAACTGATGGAAAGAACCAGGCTTGATTAGGAGCAATGAGGTTTGTTGTTATGGGATAGTTCAGTGTATTTGGAATCAGCTGAATTCCCAATGTTTTATTGTAAGGTGAGAAAATATGTTTTGACAGATTTGGAGGGATTTTGCTTATTTTACTATAAGGATCAAGAACTTAGATAGTTCCAGACACTTTGAAAGCATGGCTCATCATTCTAATGAGAATTTAATTGATCAATTGTCATATTACAAAAAACAAGGCGATTGTCAGAGTTACTTTAATTGATATGAAAGCCTTGTTACAAGGTCAGAAAAAATGCATGTAGTATCTTGCAAATTTGAATCTAAAGTCATTTTACTTTCAAAAAAAGAACATGTTACAACTACCTAGATGGCACTGATTTGTACTTTGTGACATTTTAGTTCTTTCATTCATAATTACACTTTCATCTCCCTACACATACTCATCAGCTTTACTCCACCAGATCAGATCATCTTCATTCAATCTATTAGATCCTTTGCCTTTTCTTTAATTTCACAGACACCCAACATACTCATTTTTCTTTAATTGCTTCACTTCTGAAATTTGCCATTTACCATTTTTATATTTTAAGTCACAATCTTCCATATGCTATGATCTTTAACAGATGTGTCCATTAATAATGATTTCAACCACCCATCGTGGCTTTGGTCAATCAAGGCTTTCATATTATACTTTTTAGGAACATTTCGTAGACTAATTTAGCAGCTTTAGTCATATTTTTCTGATATGCAGCATTCACAGCTAACAGTGAAAACATCCTGGCACATATTGGCCAGGATGCCAGAAGCATAACAAAAGTCTACTTTTACTACAAACTTGCTCAAGTTATTCTATGCAAGCTATAATTTCTAATAAAAAAGCTATTTTGCAAGCTAATGTAACTGTTGCCTGCCTTCCATGAACTAGAGTCTAGACAGTACATTCATTGTTACTATATTTATGTAAACAAATGTTTTAGTTATGTGCAGCAATAAAAAAATAAAAGTCTGTGTTTTTTTTCTCCATACCCTTTCATGTTTAATTTTATTACTATATTTCTCTGAATTTCTATCCGGCATAAAAATGGTGATATTATTCTGTTTGTATTGACACTTCATTTAAATCAGAATCTATAAAAACCAGCCTGCTGTGAGTTTCTCATTTAGATTTCCACTCTACGAGGCAAGCTATCTGCCTGTCAGAAACTTGGCTCAGCCACACTCCTGCCTGAACAAAATGAGTTGGCTCATTTTCCTGCATAACACACACCACCTGTGTTCTGGAGGAACGAATTGGTACCCATTTGTTTTCATTGAAGCTTGCCTACCTCGATCTGTCATTTCAGCCCTTGCATCACAAATCCAGAAGGGCTCAGCTAGTTTGCTGCTTTGTGCATTTATGGTAAAGAGTCTAATTCGAATGCTCCAAGTAGTTCTTTCTGGGAGCAGAATGTACAACAGAAAAGTTCTTTATTAACACAGAAAATAAGATTGCAGTCGATATTCCCTATCTGGGGAGAGGAGAATCAAAACGAATGATTGTGACACACACACACACACACACACAAATTTCTTTAAAAAGACCTTAAATTATAAAACTATTAATTACACTTTTCTTTTCCTGCCAATTTACCAGTCATGCTCCCTGTATTTGTAGTTGCTTTTTGCTGTTGGCCATTGTGTCTTCTTTTCTGTAGTATTATAAGTGATGATCGGTGACATTCGCTTTCAGTTGATGATGGTAAATGCCAAGTTTCTCTGTAAGGAAAACAGCTGGTAGATCTGGCATGCATTATTAAAATCTGATAGGGTAAGGACCCTAATATTTCTGGCCCATATATCTGCTTTCCCAAGTTTTGATTCTTTTTCAGCCTCAGTGCCAAAACTAGCAACCTGGGGTGGCGCTGAAAATAATTTCCTGCTGGCAGGGCATCTGTTCCTGACTGGGCATGAGTGCCTGTTCGTTAAGGTGGATCAGAGGGAAAAAATGAGAATCCTGCTGGCGTATCTCAGGGCTGATGTTGCAGTCATTTTGCCAGCAAGGGCTGGGTGGCTTCAATCTCCTTGTTTCAGGTGTTGTATTTAGGAGAGCTGAGGAGTTCATGGCCTCCATATCAGCCATGAGTTAATCCTTGCTCAGGCCTCAAATATCTAAGTAACCATATATTAGACTTTGTGTTTGCCTCAGAACAATTGTTTAGTGATCTGGATATTGAGAGTAAAATCTAGCACTTTGTCATGGTCTGTTCATTTCTGGTTGAAGTGAAATTATCTGCCCCTTGTTCCCTGAGGAGTAAGCAGAGTAAGAAGAAAGGCCTACCCCAGATGCTTTATAGATTGAGAAGGATTTTAGCAACTGCTTGTGGAATTTCCCAGTTGCCACAGTCAGCTCAGATTTGGAAGGATCTGAATTAGAAGATGCTACCACTGATGCTACAAACACCAAAAAGATTTGGAAGGTGTTGCTCTAGGGCAGTGATGGCGAACCTTTTAGAGACCGAGTGCCCAAACTACAACCCAAAACCCACTTATTTATTGCTGGGTGCCAGGTGGGCGTGGCCCACTGGGTGGGCGTAGCTGTGGTGGTCATGGCAGACTGGGTGGGTGTGACCAAGGTGGGCATGGTCACCTTGATGCTCGTGGGGAGGGATGCCTGTGGGGGCCAGGCAGGGTTGGGAGAGATCCAGGGGGTCTCTGGCAGGTGGGGCAGTGGGCAGGATGCTTGTCCTGCGGGGTGTGGTGAGGCAAGATGAGGCAGGGCGGGGGTGCCATTGTTGCAGGACACAGTGAGGCAGGGGCCTGGGAGGCTGCTGCCTGACACCATCAGCCCCTGCACACAGAGGCCAGCAAGCGCATGGGGGCTGACAGTGTCTGTCAGCAGCCACAGCCTGCCGGCCCCTCGACTGGTGCACTCTGGGGCTCCACAGCCCACCACCAGCAATTCAGAGAAGCCGCCTCTCAGCTGGATGGCCTGCCGACAGCTGAGGAGGCAACGCAGTGGGAAAAGGAGAGCATGCAAGGTCAGGAGGAATGGGACAGGGGGGAGGGAAACCAGCCATGCTAGGATGCATCCAGCCACATGGGACCTCGGCGAGTTAGCGGGCGGCTGGTTGAAGAGGGATGGTTGCCATCTCTGGGGCATGGCGTGCGTGCCCACAGAGAGGTCTCTGAGTGCCGCCTCTGGCACGCGTGCCACAGGTTCACCAACACTGCTTTAGGGCAGGGGGTGTCAAACTTGCAATGTCACGTGACGTGTTACGATATATCACTTTTTCCCCATTGCCATGGGTGCAGTTTCGGCGTGACGCATCCAGCCCACGGGCCAGTAGTTTGACACCCCTGCTCTAGGGGAACATGCTAAGAAGCTGGTGGCATAAAGTGATGAGAGATCAGATCCAAGATCCACCCTAGTGGTATGTCACCAAGTTTGCTAAGTAGGGTAAAGACATCCTTCACAGCCTCTCGCCATCAAGGGAATCCCCATCTTTGATTACCTGCACAGGTTGCCAGCTCTATTTAAAAACCATCACTACCCATCAGGTGTTGTTGTTTTTTTGGAAACAGCAACATTCTATGCATTTGCTTCCTCTAAATCTTGTTCATGGACACTCTGCTTCTTTGTGACCCAGATTGGCTGGCAATCATGCTGCAATACACTGTCCTTCAGACTCTGACTGAGACTATTCCTCTGTTTGCTCTTTTAGTGTCTGACTACCAGGAAGCTCACCCAGACAAGCTCTTAAGGACTTGGAAACTGCTTGGGAATTATATCTCCATGTACTTCATGCCTTGTCTGCCAATACCTATATTTGCCTCTCTATAATAAATCTCATTTACCCACCATGCATGCACATGCTTGACCTCAGACAGAACGCCAACAGTCTGGTAGCTACAGGCCACAGGAGCCACTCTTGAATCAATCACTCCCAAGTCTGTTTGCCAACTCCAGTTGGTTCCTTAGTTTACTGAGCAGTGCAGGAAATGAAGTGACAAAAACAACACCTGGAAGATAACTAGAAGTGAATCAGATTAAGCATAGGCATGAGCTAAAGTTCAAGCCTACACTGTGGCAGTAAATGAAGTATTCTTCTCTTCCTTCTTTACACAAGTTGTTGGCCAGAAGTCTTTTTTGAGGGGAATGGGGGGCAGAGGGTAAATCCTTTTGCAATTGCTTTTAAACCTCTTCCCTGGCACAATCGCTCAGATTCAGCAAAGCTTGATTTTCAGGATGTATTAATCCTGAGGTAATGTCTTCCCGTGTTTCCTGGGATTCCTTTGGGCATGTGGATTCTAATGAAGTAAATACTTGCTTTTTAGTATGTCCTCTGCTCCTCTGGGATCCTGCAGAGATCAGGAATTAATGTGATTACCTGGATCTAGGAGGTGATCAATACTTTATTTCAGGAAAGAATGTTTCCTTAAACTTTGAAGACGTTAAGAGGCATTCCCTGGATCTTATATATTACAAAATAATTTCCCTGTTAATTTTTAGGAAGGCCATTGCATTGTATTTGTATTTGTAAATAGGAAGTGTTTGATTACACATTATCTACAGTCATAATGATAATGGAGGAAAAAGAAAGGATTATTACATGAGTGACGCCCATCTAATTAACATCATAGCAAGAGCAACAGCACGTAGATTTATATACTGCTTCACAGCCCTCTCTAAACAGTTTATAGAGTCAGCCTATTGTCCCCAACAATTTGGGTCCTCATTTTACTGACCTTGGAAGGATGGAAGGCTGAGTCAACCTTGAGCCAAGTGAGACTTGAACTACCAAACTTCTGGTAGTCAGCAGTCAGCAGAATTAGCCTGCAATACTGCATTCTAACCACTGCGCCACCACAGTTCATCATGCCCTAAATAGGATGATGTCACAATGCAACATGTTCAGTCAGATCTAGCATTGTGATAACATCAGTGAGAACAAGTGGAGCTAACAAATTGGTGAAAACATGCAATAAAAATACAAAAGATTTGGCACTGCTCAAAATAGTGTGTGCTTTTGACAAAGAATAATTGGACATTTTGGCTCAGCCCTGACGTTAATTATGAACAACTGGAAAAATAACAGCACCCTTTTCGTCTACATTATTATATCTGCCATCATCTAGTAATGTTTTGTTTTGTTTTGTACTAGAAAACTGATCAACCAAAGAATACAAAAATATCCCATTTCTCTAACATTTTCAAAAATATGACTTGCTCCATTACTAATTTTATATTTATGTGATGAGACAATCATAACCTTTCAAAAGCTCAAAATGTTCTTGCATGAAGAGAAGGCAAAATGCTCTTTGGAATCTATAAGGTCCTTGTTTCTTCATCACAGGATGTGACAACACAAAACTGTTCCAATTAAAAGTCCTGATGCTGAAGGAATAATCTCTAACCAACTGAAAATAAAATGTATTTGTCACAACAATCTGCCAACTATCTTTTTTTTCAAATGAAAATTATATTCCTTCTGAATTACATAACAGTCATGTTCAAAGGAAAAATAAACCATTGTAACTTAATTTGGTTTCAGTTATTTAAAATATACTGTATTATAGGAACACAACACCAGAGTTCATTTGTAAGCAGCCAACCAAAATGTGATACGTTTTTGGGGTAGAATATTGTGCAAACCTAGTTGGGGTTAGTTACTGCATCATGGATTATTCAGTGTTTCTCAACCTTGACAATTTTAAGGCATGTGGACTTCAACTCCCAGAATTCCACAGCCAGCATTGCTGGCTGTGGAATTCTGGGAGTTGAAGTCCACATGTCTTAAAATTGTCAAGGTTGAGAAACACTGGATTATATCATGATGTGCTTTATGAACCCAGTGATTTACTCAGTAAACAAGAAATTGGGTAGCCAAATCCATTGGACTGTATTAAACTTCTGAATCTTGTTTTGTGTTGCCTAACTGTAGCTGAAAATAAGATGGGAAACATATGCAACTGTAAAATACACTAGGGTTATTGTTGAAATACCTGGTTCAGAGGATAATTCTACCTGAGCAGATCACCTCCTCAGGGCTTGATGAAGGACTAAGGGAAAGATAAACTGTGGTGGCTCAGTGGTTAGAATGCAGTACCAGCTCAAGGTTGACGCAGCCTTTCATCCTTCCAAGGTCGGCAAAATGAGGACCCAGATTGTTGGAGGCAATATGGTGATTCTGTAAACCACTTAGAGAGGGCTGTAAAGCAATGCTATTGCTATTGCTATTGCAGGCTAATTTGATTCCTGTATTCTCCTTTTTTGTCCTCTGCATGATCCTTATAGGCTTGAACAGAACGCCCAGAACGGAGTTCCGGCACCTTTTTTGGATGGAACCTTGTAGGGTAGGCAAGGCAGGTTATATGACGTGTGTGAGTTCCAGTACCTTTTTTTTTTTTTTTAGAAAAAAAGCACTGGGCTTGAACTCTCTCTCCCCATACTTACATCTTATGATCACATCACTCCACGGAGGATGCTATTTATTCTGTTCTCCGTCTGAGCTTGAAGCACTAGAGGAAAGAAATACTCATGTGAATTTGTTGTTCGTCGACTTCAGTTCACCAGCAACTAGTAGACAAACTGGGCGTTTTAGGCTTAAACACTCCTTTGTGCAACTGGATTCTTAATTTTCTTACTAGCAGGCCCCAATATGTGCGAGCTGGAACAAATAATTCTAACGCCATTTTCTTGAGCACAGGTTCTTCTCAGGACTGTGTCTTAAGTCCTCTGCTGTTCACCCTGTTGACCCATGATTGTTGTGCTAGGTTTGCCACCAAGCATATTATGAAGTTTGCAGATGATACAACAATAGTGGGCCTTATTCTTGATGACAATAAGGGTGCTTACTACAAGGAGGTTGAGGGTTTAGTGAACTGGTGTAAGGAAAACAGCCTAGTTTTAAACACTGGAAAAACCAAAGAGATCATTGTCGATTTAAGAAAAGGCAGGCACAGCCACACTCCTCTGTGCATTAACGATTCACCTGTGGAGATGGTTACCAGCATCAAATTCCTGGGTGTGCGGTTAACAAGTAGGCTGGCTTGGTCACTCAACAGCGAGACACTGATGAAGCAGGCACAACAGCGTCTGCATTTTTGGGTCACATGAGAAAAGCACATCTTCCTTCCCCTATCCTTACCACTTTCTACAGAAAGACGATCGAGAACATCTTGTCATACAGCATCACAGTCTGGTTTGGAAGCATCACTGCTTCAGACAGGAAGGTGGTGCAGGGAGTGGTGAGGATGGCTGAAAATATCATTGGCAGTTCCCTCCCTCCCATCCAGGACATAGCACAGAAGCATTGCTTGAGCAGGGTCCATAAGATTGTCTGGGACATTACACATCCTCTTCATGACCTGTTTTCCTTGTTACCTTCTGGGAGGAGGCTCCGTGGTATCCGAAGCAGAACATCCAGATTCAGTCACAGTTTTGCTCCATACAGTATTAACCTTGTAAGCTCTAAAGTTTCCTCCTTCCATTATGTATTCAAGATGGACAGTGATTAATATTTATATGTTACTTATATGTAAGGGTGTAGGTCTATACATACGTTATATATAGAATAATGTGTGCCGTTGTGCCCACAGTAAAAAATGTCAATAAAAGTTATCTAATCTAATCTAATCTCTAATCTAATCTTCATCAAGGAGCTCATGTGAATATAAAGGTCAGATAAGAGAACAGCAAGCAACCTTCATTTACCAGTCCTATTTGAGTGCCAGCAACAGCTCCATCCTAAAGATAGCCTAGTTGATGTGAATCATATATTTTGCTTTCCATTCTGAGGGTCAGTATGTCTTGATACCCATTTTTACAAATGCATTTTTCTCCATCCTGTTAAATGTTCTCAGATTAACTTCTCAATATTGTCAATTGGGAGAATCCTCCCCCAGATGTACAGGTTCAGAAATTCAGCCAGGTTTCCTTTCTCAACTCAAACAAGTGTTAAGCACTTACTCATTTTTAATAACAGCTTTTACACATTGGGAAATACTGTCAGTTTTCCTCAGGAAAACACCATCAATAACATTGCTAATATTACAAGAGGTTAATAGATACATTATTACAACTTACAACAACTCCTTTAGTGACCATTCAAAGTTACAATGGTACTGACAAAAGTTGACTTATGACCATTTTTCACACTTACGACCATTGTGGTACCCCCATGGTCACATGATCAAAATTCAGATATTTGGCAATTGACTCATATTTATGACTGTCATAGCATCCTGGGATCACGTGTTCATCTTTTGTGACTTTCTGACAAGCAAAGTCAATGGGAAAGCCACATTCATTTAACAACCGTATTACTAACATAATGACTAGAATTATTCATTTAACAACTGTGGCAAGAATGATCACAAAATGGGGCAAACTCACTTAACAAATGTCTTGCTTAACAATAGAAATTTTGGGCTCAGTTGTGGTCATAAATCAAGAGCTACCTGTATAAGCATTAATATGAATTCCTTTCCCTTTCAAAAATAAATTATTCTAAGAATATTGTAAACATGATATATACTCAAATAGGTGACAGCACATTTTGCAAAGCTAAGCAGGAGCAAGCAAAGATTTGGTTAGAAACCTCCTAGGAAATCATGGTTTGTACTATGGACTAGAAAGTCAGGAAATATTCCAGAAGTTGGCAGTGGCAAATCAAAAGCTAAAAAAAAAAAAAATGAAATGGACATGTCAACAAATCAACAGGTCTTGATCTCCATTCAAATGAGTTCATATTTTTATTTTATTTTATTTTATATATAGGCCAAATCAGGATTCATCAAGCAAGTTGTTTGGAGCCAAAATCAGGGAGCTTTCTTGATATCTGCATCTTTTTGAAAAAACGAACTATTAAAACCTATTATATAATTATTTATCAGAGCCTTATATCATATGTGGAGTTAGATTTTACATATACATTTAGGGAACAATAAAAATGTTCATATGATCCAATGTACGGTGTAACATTAACAACATTAACAACATTTATAAATGTTAATGTAACATTAACAACATTTATAAAAGTTAAATCCAGGATAAGAACAGGATTTTATTATTGATTTATGAAGTATAAATGGAGGATTGACATCATGTCCCTAACTAACTACAGTTAGTCATTTAAGATATTGAAGCCAACAGAAATATTAACTAACATAATTTTCACTCATTATTTTCTTTTGCAATTAATCAGGAGCAAAGTTAGCTGGATTGTTGGCTGAATAATGTAGATAATTATTTCAGCATTAACAGTAGCTGGCTTTATAACTAAATCTCATGCAGAAGATTACTGTATTATGATCTTCTTCCTTCCATTTAATTAGCCTTATACCGAGACAAATGATCTGTGATAATTACATAAATGAGATCCATTCTACCTTTTTTGATAGGCAGCTGTAATGCAGTATATGTTGTGTGCAGTCTTCCTAGAGCAGCTCATTAAAATGTTATATATATGTACTGCATTATAAAAAGTGTAACTTGGGGAATACAAATTGTGGCTCCCTTACTCCTCAAGAGGGGCTCATTAACTGGATTTACTGTATGCACTCTGTCATCTGTTTGGATTTGCAGTATGTGCTATTATATAAAACTACTTTAACCATCTTGGGATGTGATTTGTAATTAGAATGCCCAAGCTTTTGAACTGTATTCCTTTAGACTCAATATCATTTTTTAATAAATGTGCCTTCAACTCCTAATCTGATATTCCAAATAACAAAATGGCAGTATTTAATTAAATCCACATAACTAGAGAATAGTTGTTTGAGATGTCCAGAGTTATCTGGGCTATTTTGTCAGCCTTAATATTTTGATCCATGATCAAAGAAGGATTTTAATGCAATGATCAGTAGAAAGAAAAGGCAAAATTGTATGTGAGTTGGTTTTAAGATGGACAGTTATACAAATATTTTCAACAAATGCATATGATATAAAATATAGGTACAGCATATGATAAGAAGTTTGATTCCCATCGAAAAATAGAATTTTTATCAGAGCTGTAATCTGGATCCAAAGGGTTAGAGTTAAAATAGCATAGTTAGGAATTTTGTGTTATAGGCAGGAGAGTGCTAGTTAAAATCCACCAGGAACATTTTGAGTCACCTTGAATCTTGACAGTCAGGCAGCATATTAGTTTAATGACATGTTATGGTTGGCCACACAGTCAGCCAGATGTTTAGACTGGTTTTGGCATTTTTATTTGCCAACTGAGTCCTTCTCAATAGACACACATTGGAATAGACAGGTATTGTTGCTTGATGGTGTTAAATTTATTTGCTGCCCATCTCCCCAATGGGCTTACAAGAGTAAAAACGGAGAAATGAAAAAAGGTATAAACATAATAATATCAAATAATGAATCAGTAAAGATAAATAATGGAGTGAACAATGAAGGTATAGTAATATGAGATTAAAAATGGATGGGGAGAAGCAAGGAGTGCAGGGGAGGGGGGAGGAGATGGAATTTGCTATCAGTCTAGTAGCTATCTCCAGTGTGAAACTCCCACATTGGGTCCCCAGGCAAACTAGCAGAATCAGGTCTGCAGGTATTGTTGCAGGATGTAAGCTTTTTCAAGTAATGCTGCCTTTTGCAATTGACTGGTGGTGATTTTGTTATTATTATGCTCATAACAATATGAAATTACAGCTGACAGTCCTTTAGCTGCTGTAGACCTTCACATGCATCAAGTTCTTCCCAAGAATCTAGGAAGTTATAATGTATCAGTATAGTATATGCGCAGACCCAAGCAGTGGGACTATTTATAATTGATAGGTGGAAATTTTGTCAATGCACAGATTTTTGGGGTATGGTACCCAGTGCCAGTAATCACTGGGACTACCATGATTAGTTTATGCCATAATTTTTCAGTTTTCAAATCTTAATACTTTGTGATGTACCTCAATTCTTTGTCTTCTGTTCTACTATCTCCTGCTATTGCCACATCAATTATCCACACTTCCTTATTTTCACTTACAGTTAAATCTGATGTATTACGAGCTAAGACTTTGTCAGTTTGTACTGTAAATCTCACAATATTTTAACCTGCTCGTTTTTGACAATTTTTTTCCAACTATATGTTCCCATCAATTTTTCATTACTGGCACATGATAATTTTTACAGATGTTCCAATGAATCATTTTGTTCACTGTATTATATCACTCTGTGTGAGCTTCTTGAGTATATAATCTGCTGTTTCTTCTGCTTCTTTGCACAAAGTGCATTTTAAATCATTTGATGATTTTTCAACGTTGGCCTTGATTGCATTAGTTCAAATAGCTTGCTCTTGAGAAGCCAAAATCAAGCCTTTCTTTATTTTTTATTAATGTACCAATTGTAAGCCATTGCCAGATTTTAGCTTTATCTACCTCTTCCTTGTCATTTATAGAAATTGACTATGTAATTTTTCTTAGCAGTCGAGTCTGACTGTGTGTGATCTGGTCAGCAAAGCTCCCCATCCTATTGCTGTTCCTTCTTGGATGAGGATTCATTAGGATGGTATCAAAAAAGATATATTGATGCTTATTCCAGGACTGGTGTAGTTTGCATTAGTAGCCCCAGTAGGGTTAGCCTAGAGAAGCAAAATGATATGGATCTATGGTTCTCCTAACATTCTCCCTATTTTATCAGTTGCATCCTTTTCCCTCTGTTGGATGTTTGGGTTTGGATCTCAGAAAAAAAAAAGTTGGGAATCTTACAGGAAGAGAAGTCCAATGTAAGATTTTGAAAACTATTTATCTGCAC